TAAACATGTACAAATAGATACGAACCAACACTGAGCCCCCAGCAGTCCAGGCCGGACTCCGCGGTGCTCAGGGGCCCACAGGCAGAGGCCAAAGGCAGCAGAACAGCCAGAGCCCTCCTCGCACCCCGCACAGACGAGCCTGGCCCCGCTGAGCCCTCGGCTGTACACCCAGTGGGACGTACATGGAACGGGATCCCTTGTCAGACAGTTTGGGTCACACGTCCTGTCCCCTCTGCACCCCGAGTTCCACCTTTTCACTTGTGACCCTTTCTCTTACTGCACAGAATTTAGCCGTGACCTTGGTCTCCACAGCAGCAAGTATAAGCAAGAGCCTTTCTGCACACACCAATCCTTGGCAGTAACCACAGACCTCAAGCGTTGTCACTGCTAGAGGCAGAGACTGCCTGAAAAAAAGACACCGTTCGCTTCAGAAGAGATTTAGCTGAAAAGTAAAATCACTGATCCTCAGGAGAATTGGTTCTGTTCTAGCTCAAGCTGGGCTGCCCTGCTTGCCTGCAGCGGCCACGTTCCTGTAGGAGCAGCTCACACCAGCTAAGACCCCACTCGGCCGCTGGACCTTTTCCCAGCACAGCGTTCCCCACGTCCAGGCCATCATGAGCGTGGTGGTCCTGTGATGGGCAGGAGAAACACAGAGGTACGTGCTCTGGCTCCCAGCACAGCACCTCCCAGGCCATGGCAGGGTTAACACTGACTCCTGTGGAGCAGGAAGGACCTTCAGCCTTCCTAACTGACAGCTGATGTGAGCAAAGTTAGTGAGCAGTACCACCAGAGCCCCCTGTTTTCCTCAGAAGCTGCAGGAGATAACCCAACACTCACAAATGCTGGCTGGAAGCTACAGCTCTGGCTGCTCACCACTGACATCTGGGACCATCCTCTGCACCCCACCCAGGAGCTGATGCTGCAGGAGTCAGGCTATCAGCCCTGCAGCCATCCTAGAGCAGGAACTCACAGCAGTGAGGGTCTGGTTGAGACAGACAGCAGGAACAGGGCTGTGGTGGGGCTCCTGCAGTCCCAACAGCACTTCTGCGTGCTCTGCTCAGCCAGGCCAGTCCCTCGTCCCCCACAGCAGGGATGGGCCTCTGTGCCAGAGGAGATAACTAAGGAGGGCAGTGGGGGTTAGAGCTCATCCTGGTGGAGGGAGGAGGGCAAGAGAACAGGAATACAGCAGTGAGGACAAAACCTGGGCTTCAGTACAATAAACAGCATTGTAAGTAAGCAATGTAAGTATTACTCTGCCTGGGGCGGAGGGCTGGAGAGTGGCTCTGAGTTACACTGCAAAAATCAGCCAGGACTCCTGAGACACTGCTCGTGTACAGCCAAGGACAGGAGGAGTCTCCAGTCCTGGGCCTTGGTGGCCTCAGGGTGGAGGACAGCAAGGAAGGCTACGGTGTGATGGGGACAGGGGTGAGCTGGGAGCTCCTCAGGGGACAGCGTGGGGCCGGAGGGGAGTGCAGGACAGGCAGGAAGAAGTGTTTGGTGAATGGCTGAGTTACACTCTTCTTCCCCAGCAAGCTGAAAGTGTCATTTGGGGCCACCCCAGAACAATTTCTTTTATCTAAAACCGTTTCATTTCAGAAACCACTGAACACATTTGTTGTTTTGTTAACCTTTTATTTAGGTCACTTCATATTGAAAAGTGAAGAAAGGTTGAAATTATTTTCCAATTACTTCCCTCTGTTTTAATTCTTGGGGGCCAAAACTCTGCTGAAGGTGGCCCAAGTGTGTAAATAAATGCAGAATCCCCCCAAAAACCCTTTCATTTTTGCATATCACTATTAATAGTTAAAAAAATACTGCCCAGTTCTGTTAATATTTGATCTTAAATTCCCACATCTGTCTGAAAAGGCGATGTTCTTATCTCAAACACACCACATTTACCTCCACGTAAGCCAAAACCCCAGAGGGTTGGCTTTGTTTTCAGTGCAAGGCAAGATGTACAACAGGAGGAAGAGCCAGCAGCCGTGCAAGACCCTTTCAACCTGCTCTTGGCTTGGCATAAGCTCCTGGTCTCCTGCCCGCTGCCTCAGTGTGCAGCCTGGGCGTGCTGGGTGCTGTCTCTGAGAGGAACCTTCTCCAGGCTACACACGGCCTCAGAGCAGGGCTGGCAGCTGGGACTGAGCAGCAGTTCCCCCTGTGGCTTGCCCAGGCTCTGCTCTGGGTGAGAAAATTTATGCTTTTAAAAAAAAAATTGCAGTTTACAAATGTATCTGAGAGTAAGCAGCTCTGAAGCTAAGAACTCACGGAGCAGAACTACACTTGCTGAGGAGCTGTCAGCCCCGTGTAGGTCACAGCTGACAGATGCTCTGCACGTGAAATGGCTTGAGCCCCAGTGTTTAGAGAGCTGGATTCAGGCACTTGATACATGCAGCCCAGCTGGTGACAGTCCAGCATCATTCACAGCCTGACATCCCACCTACCAACATGGCTGAGAAAACACCTTCCTACCAGAGAAACGAGTTGTCTGCAGCCCTGAGGAGACTTCAAAACCTTTTGTGAAAACATTAATTCTACCGAGGGGCATTTTATAAACTATAAAACTTGCACAAAGTGTCCAAAGTGGTTTTGAGGTACACAAAAATCCTCATTTCCTGGCTGTGCAGCAGGCAGAACAGTCATCCTTGAGCTTCACTTTCAAGAGCAGACTCTGCAGCCACATAAGACCAATTTCTGAGCTCTAACACAGTGAGCCTCTTACGCTGCCCCAGTCACTGCACAGCCTCACCACACAGAAACCTCTGCCACTAGGAAACTCTGCTTTTGGACTTCATGCAAAAGTCAAAAGGAAGTTTGTACTGGAACCCTGCTTTGAAGGAAATGTGAAATGATACCTGCCCTCCATTATGCCCAAGTTAAACTTCATGAAAGATGTCTGCTCTATCTGCAGTAAAGCAACACAGGATTTTGAGAGTGAACGTGGTACCTGCCAGGGCACAGCAGCTTTGTTTTACAGACCCATCCTTGTCACGAGCTAACTTTGTCCTCTCTCAGTCTGGTGTCACCCATCACCTCTGATGGAGCAAAGGGAGCATTACTCTGGTTTTAGCATCCTAAAAACCACTGCTGAGTCGTGAGGTCCCCTTCTCTTGGCCAGAGAGACTGACCTGTGAGTCACCAGCTTCAGGTGGAGAAAAGAAGAGTAAGGCAGTCAGTCTAAGAGCTGTTATGTGGGTGAAGCTCTTGTTTGCTGTGGTGTTCAAACAGGCACTGCAAGACTCACCCTTCTGGTTTAATGTTGCCCTGGCGTGCCTGCTCTTGAGGCTATAACCTATGACTGACCTCCTTGGGGAATGACATTTCCTCCAAGGAACAGAAACATCTGATCCGTAGCAATAACAATGAAATTCATCAAGCATTATATATGCCTAAATGAGGAAAAAAATCCCCCTCCCAAATACAGCCTGGCAGTGAAGAAGGCCTGAGCTGTGTGGATGCACCGTGTGCTGGGCACCCCAGCTGCTGGCTGAGAGCAGGGGATGCTGTGAGGGAACCTGTGAGGACACCCACGTGTGCTTCAGCTCCAGAAAGGTGCTGCTGGGGAGGACAGTCCCCTCTTCATGAGCTTAGCTGCTCACGTCTAGTTTGGCCCCTTCTTCCATTATATTTGCTATATCATGAGCATATATAGGTATAAATGTGTATTTTCCCCTCTGTAAAAGCCTCCCTCCCCACCACCCAGGATCACGTGGAGGGTTAGAGGGCTTTTTCTTTTGAAAGTGATTATGATTACGGGGACCTTTGCTCCCGAGTCACTGGCACAGAAAGCCCAGACAAGGCCCCCTGCTGCGAGGTGACAGCTCTGTCTGGCTCTGCGGGGCTCTGGTGCTCACAGCTCCACGAGGCTGTCGCTGGAAAAAGCCGTGAGGGTGATGTGACCTGGCACCTCGGCCGCCCCTCGGCCGCCCCTCCCCCGGAGCTGCAGCGTCTGCGGCTCTCTGGGGTCGCTGGGGGGAGCTGCCAGCACCGCCTGCCCCAGGAACTGGTCACACAAGACGTTGCTGTTCCACACCTAGAGAGAAGGGAATAAACCCGGCTGAAGCAGTGCTGCTCTCCAGCTCCACCTGGAAGGGCTGTGCTGGAGGAGGGTCACTCCCACTAACCCCTTGGGACACGCAGTGAGGAGGGGCAGTACGTCTAAATTTAGCTAATTGTCTACAGAGCATGTGGGAGATTCTGGATTTGCATGCTCATTTACATACACTATGCAAATAAGGGGCTAAATGCAGCTTTTTGCTTTCTAGGTCACAGCCTGCCTAGAAGAGGAATAAAAATTACCTGTTGGAGCTTACCAGCAGGAAAAGCCACACGCAGTCAGGCTGTGTGTGCCACTCTGCCTGCTCACCTCACCTCTGCAGGTCTCCAGAGCTTTCCTCTGTGCCAGAGCCAGGCCCACACTGCTCCAGCAAGGGACACCAGTGGGGCTGGCATCCTTGGACGTGTCCTTTGCCACCACTCAGGGTGGGGCTGGGTGTGTGACAAGCAGCAGCTGAAAGGCTGTTAGCAGTGGGCTTTGCTGCACAAGCCAGCCTTCAGTCTGTGAGGTGCATTACTACCTAACTGAGTTATCCTGGACATGGCAAAGTGTTTGAGCTGCACACTGCAGAGAGCTGAGGTGAGGTCCCATGTGTGAATCTGCTCCTTCCCAAGTACTGGGCAATCCTGCACGTGCCAAGAGCACGGACCATGGTCCAGCAGCTCTATGGTGCTATAAAGCTGTTCCAGTCTCTGGCACCAAGTGCCACAGGGAACTGATTCACAGATTCACTGTGAGATCTTTCAGGTCCTGACAATTCTATGAAAAAAGATCTCCCTGCACTGAGGAAGAAGACATAGTGCTTAGGATCTGTCAGATACTAAACAGTTGTGTGTATCGTACTGAAATGCTGTTCTGCTCCCTCAAAGTTTTCCTAGACTGCCTCATCTAAATCATAGGATCATAGTTTAGGTTGGAGGGGAGCTCTAAAGGTCATCTGGTCCAACCCCCTGCAGGGAGCAGGGACATCTGCAGCTAGAGCAGGGTGCTCAGAGCCCTGACCAACCTCCCCTGGGATGGTTCCAGGGATGGGGCAGCGACCACCTCGCTGGGCAGCCTGGGCCAGGTGCGCACCACCCTCAGTGTCAAAATTTCTTCCTTCGATTTAGTCTAAATGTCCCTGTTTTAGTTTAAAACCATCTCCTCTTGTCCTGTTGTAGCAGGCCCTGCTAAAATGTCTGTCCGCAGCTTTCTGACAGGCCCCTTTAAGTACTGGAAGGCCACCAGAAGGTCTCCCTGGAGCCTTCTCTTCTGCAGGCTGAACAACCCCAACTCCCTCAGCCTGGCCTTTCAGCAGAGGGGCTCCAGCCCTCTGATCCTTTTTGTGACCTCCTCAGGACCCACTAAACCCCATGCTCTGTGTAAGCAGCTAGTGCTGAGGTAAACAGTGTGATCTAGTTCCTACAGGACTAGAATTCAAGGTAAAAAACTTCTTAACAGTAACCTTGGCTTTGGTTTGATTTCAAACACTGACTCAACATTTGGCTTTTCTTTGTCTCTGTTTTGTCAGGTACCAAATGAGGCAAACAAAATTCTGCAAATTCTTTCAAAGCCTCAGAAGGAAATATGTCTTCTGATCTAGGGTCATCAGCTGCTGTTTCATGGAAGAGACCCAGACCAGAGAATCAGCAGAGCAGCTGAACAGCTCCAGGCCCAGCCCAGGAAGGGGAGCAGAGGTTCTCACATTCTGGGTGTCAGTCATATGAAGGAAGATTTAGCACACATCAAGCCCCGTGGTGCTGCTGTGCTCCCCCAGCTGCCTTCAGCAGCCCACCCTGCATGGTCTGTCTCACCTGGACGATGACAGGACTGTCAATGTTCTTCCTGTAGAAAATCACTTGTGTGCTGAAGGTGGGGCTGGTGGTGTCGTGCTGCACGGGGGAGCGCGTGGCTTGGTTCTCACACTTGATGAGCACATAGGGATCTGCTCCTGAAACACAACCAGCAGCACAGCTCTGAGGACAGAACGGCAGCTGAGACCCTCCTGGGAACCCAGCAGAAGCAATTCCCTCCTGTGCCTGCAGGAGCAGGACACCAGGGCACTCACATCCAGTGCCCATCACCAGCAGAGGTCAAACCCCTCCTCCTTGTAACAGCTGTGAAAGCAGCTCACCCTAGGCTGGCACCACAACCTTTTCACCTTCCCTTGCTGTGCATCCTCCTGGCTCATCTAACAAAGTCTTCAAAGAGAAACTCTGAGCTGCTGACACTGCTCCAGATGTGAGAGCCAAAATGCATCTGTGCACTGCAGCCTGGTACATGGTTCTGGGCACTTGGGCCAAAATGGAAGGTAAAAACTTCACCCCCTGTGACTCCTGTGGAGGGCAGGGACAGGAGCTGCACAGAACCACTTTCAGCTCACTGGCAGCACATCCCAGCATCCACCTTTAGACTGCCTGCCTTGGAAGTGCTGCCTGCTGCAGTGTGACAGGGCCATTAGTGCTAGGAGGTGGGTTTCAAGGAGCAGTTTCTCTTCCAGAAAGTAAAATACTGTCAAAATGCAAAATCATTTTGTAGGAGTGCAGAGGCTCCAACAAAATTTTCTGGGGGAAACTGCCCAAGCAAATCCTCCCCAGTTTCTCATTTCACTCCCACAAACCTGAGACAATTCCTTTGGGTCTATCATTTGGAGCAGTGCAATTTTAAAGTTTATCTTATCACTGCATGTTTTTATCTATTATAAGTCTTAGTTAATCTTTTCAATTACACTTTAATCATACATAATGCAGTGAGATTATTCAGCATCCCAGAAATGCTTTATTGTTTCTACACTGAACATTTTTACTTTGTTATAAATATTGATATTTTCTTTTCATTCCAATAGGGATCAAGAACTGATTTGGAAACACCTGTCTTTATCCTCAAACAGAACAGACCATTCCACTTTCTAATTAAATTTTAATTAAATACAGGCACTGACTTTTTTTTTTTTGTATTTCAACACAACTACTTCTGTTCATGCCTATTGTTAATGACAGCATATATATTTTTGCACACCTTGCTCCTTTTTAGAAACAGATCTTCAATAAACCCACTGAATATGTGAGTCAGACATATTCAATTCACACTGAAAAGCTCATTCCTTACACACGTTTTGTCACCATCTACTTGAAAATGCCACCACTGGGATGACAACCATAAGGAGCATGATTAATGCAGCTCCCATTTTGTAACAATTCATACCCAGGATGATTTCCTCAAACACACCACTCATTTGAAGGATTGGATGCCAACATCTTGTGCAAACAAGCCACCTAACAGCTACACCCAAATCAGAAGGAGTTACTTCCACTTATGAGAAAGAAATGGAGTCTTCCCTCTGCTGCACTTTGAGTACACCTGGCCAGGCAGGTGATGGGCCTGTTGCCCTGAGAACACCTCACACCTCCTGCAGCAGGTAGCCATGCACTGGCTTTTCTGATGGGCAGTTACTTTCTGTGTCACTGAATGTGTGGATTTAGCTCTGGGACATGGGGCAGCACCCCGCTGTGTGATCAGTGATGGAAATGGTCACCCCTTTGCAAACAGGTTTGGAAAATGCATCTGGATAAAATGGGGTCTTGCATGAAATGCTGTCAACTACTGTGGCTGAAGGCAAAGAGCAAAGCAGCATCTGATCATTAACAGTAATTAAGAGATAAAGGGCATAAGAAGAGGTGGGGAAAGGACACAGCTTTACAGACCTATCTGCTGGAGAAGGGAGCTGTTAATGGAGAGACTTGCTCAGTGACAGGAAAAGGAGAGACAGCATCTGAAAGAAACAGGTTCAAATTCTCAGAAAGAGCTAGAAATAAAGAGGGAGGTAGAAGAGGAAAGGTGCCTGCACAGCAAGCCCTCACGATGGCATAGTGGTCAGTTCTGTTAGGAGGACCAGCTCCAATTGCAGAATAAAACCACTAAATGGGAGAGCTGCATGTGTGGGATGAGACAAGGGATGTTCTCTGCTACAGCTGGGCCAGTTCTTTGCAGCTCTGGCTTTTTACAGTACAAAGGCAATGCAGAAACAGCTACAAAGGTGGAAGAGCGACATCCAAGTATTTGCCATGAGCTGGGAATTCAAACAACTGGAGCTGCTCCTCTGGCAACTGCTCTGGCAGTGGCAGGAGTGGGTTCAGTGCAGGCCCACACGTGGCTCAAGCTGTGCCCTGAACAGCCTCCTGTGTATGCAGAGCTGATTCACCTCAGTCCTGGGGCTGTGCTGTCGTGTTGGGAGGCTGTGAGAGAGAACAGCACAAGGGGAAACACTGAAACCTGTAAAAGCCAGAAACACTTAAAGAGTAATGATATTGCTAAGGCTTAAAGAAATCTATGCACAGTAGTCCAAGGTTAAATTTATTTTTTTTTCCTGAGAATTGGCCTGAGGCTGTAACATCCACATCCACATCCTACAGCACTGTACCAAACCCAGAAGGCTTTCTAGAAAATGCTATGGAGAAAAAGTTCTCAGAGCCATTCCCACTCTTCCCCAGCTAGACCACTCTTCCTGGTATCTAGAGAGCTATGACAAAGTCACTGGGAAAGGGCACGGGCCAAACAGAGCAGACAGTGCTGTGGCACAAGCACTGCTGTGGGAATGACAACAGGCTGGTTTGCCTTCTGCAGGTGAGTGTCCTCACGTGGTACCTCTTGGCTTCTCCTGCAAGGAAAGGGAGTCTTTCCACTGGCATCAGTAAATCCTCCCCTCACCTCTGCTCCATTTTCTCCCTGCTTCCCTTCTCGTGCTTTGACTGGGTATTTATCAGCCCCTTTTTGCCTTCTCCTTCCTTCTATTTCTCAGAGTGCTCCCAAGGCAACTGCCATTAAAGGTTCCATTAAAGGGGATCACAATACCTAGTTTGGAAAAAGTGATGAAAGGCAATTAAACATTCAAATTCAATATGGAAGTTCAGTGGGAAGACTTAAACAGGCGAAAAGTGATTTGTTCTCAAAGAGAAGCTCTTGGGAGAAGTGTGTGACAGACAGTAGCAAGGGCAATTTTTAAAACTGACTTGGAAACGAGAGCCAGAAACTCTCCAAGCACACAGTGCTGCTTCATCTCCTGCAAACCTGCCACCACACTTGGCTTGCACATCTTGGATCAACTTCAGCACAAGAGAAGTAGCCTATATGCATTCAGAATTGAGTCTGGGCAGCTAGTTCATCCAAACAGCAAAGCATCCATTATTCTTTCCAGACAGGACACTGGATCAAAGACAGCACCAAGGAGGAGCTTTCCAATAAACACTTAAAACAGAGATGAAACAAGCTTGCTCTGGCAGGGAGCAGGGTTCTGATGACAACCAGCTTGTGAACCAGGCCGGGTGTGCACTTGCTATGCAGTCTTCATGCTCTTCCAGCTTTAAGTTGCTCAGAGATCTGTGCTAAGCACAGCTCTCAGATGATAGTGACAGGCTTATGTGAAAAACAGTGCAATCAAATCTAAATCCCTCTGTCCTAGGTATATCAAAGAAAGGTCTCTCTGCTCAGGCTCCTCTTATTTTGCACAACTGCATACCTCAGTGTCAGAGCATAAAGACATCCTAATGTTTTTCAGGACAGTTTGTTACAGAGATTTAATGTCATGTCTCAGTTCTTAGAAGCTTTAGATTGGATCATAACCTCCTCCTTTATCATCAAGTGTTGTCTTCTGCCTATGCCAAGGGATGACAGTGACAGCCCAGGCAGGTGGCTGCATGAGGCAAAGCACAGCTGACAGATGACAGAGACTGAGCATAAGAAAAGAAGCAGCTCAAGAGCTGAGATGCTGCAGATCAGGAGAGGGAGAAGCCAGGGAACCCCTGTGGAATGCATGGGGCTAATCAGATAGAGCAGCTAACGAGTCACCATCAACCTTCCCCACCAGAAAGTGAGTAATCTTTGTGTGAGGTCTTCTTAGCAGCAGGCAAACACAAGCACTTCATCTACTTATTTTCTACTTGAATAAACATATTGACTGTGCCTAACCCAAGAGGAAACCTCTACTTGTCACTCCCAAAGGCAGTTGCTGGGTGGCCTCTTCCCTCATCTCACAGTATTGATTAGACTGGAGGCTGCTGTTGACTTTTAAGTCTAGTTCACATCAGGAAATGCTCTAGGAGCAGCAGGCAAGGCTGGTGCTTCTGTAACTGCCCACGCAGCTTTGAGGCCTTCTAAGAAAACTGGTCTTTCTCCTATGCCTGGCTGGTACTTGTCCTTGAGGTAGGCATGGGAGAGGGTCCAGACGTGGATCCAGAGAAGACAGAGGAGATGACAGATGACAAGGAGCTGCATTCTTCCGTAGCAGTAAAAGCTTCCCAAGAAGCAATCTCAGAATATGGGATATTTACTGTCCCTGGACACATTACTTTCTAGCAATTCTTTCCTAGGCAGTGTGCTTCAAAGAATTTCCATATCCACTCTTTTAATCTACCCCTCAAAAAAACCCAAATGTGAGAAACAGGTACCATACCCAGCTTTTTATGTTACCAAAAATGGACTCCAGTGTCAATCAGGTGCTTTGCCAAATTTCCCAGCAAGTTGCCCTCAGAAGGCAGAGGGCCAGTTATGGGCATTATCTTGATCATCACACATCTTGGTTTTATTGTCCAGCACAAATGTCAGCACTGCACATTTGGCTTCATGATTTTTTAACACACATACTCTCCCTACTTCCTCTGTCTGGAGCTGCTGTAAGATTTGTCATTCTGCAAGAGAATCTGCAAATACACTCTGTGAGCTAGAGATACTCACAGGAAAAAAAGGCTAATAAGGATTCAGACAGGTCTTTCACAACAGAATTGGAGATAATGGGGAAGCTACTAAAGTAACTCAGTCTCCTTCTGTGTCCCCTGAATGGATAAGATTTAGAACTACAGGCTGAAAAGAGACAAAGGCTTTTACTGAAAGCTTTATGTTGATACAAAAGGAAAATATTTCAACTTTTTTGGTGAAGTTTTATTCAATGTCAAACAATATGATTCATTTAGGGTTTGTGTTCAAATCCTCTTATGCTTTAGATGAATTTAAAGATGGCATGTTGATTCACACAGGGAAATAAAAACACTTCAGAAAAAATTTGACAATGACAGACTGATTTTTTTCAGCCACATGATGAATTCAATACCAATTCACAAATAGTATCGCTTGACCCAATTGTGCATTTTTTTCTAACAAGCAATATAATCAAGTAGAAGTTTTGCTGAGGTTTAAACAGAAAATTGTTGAGTCCACTTCCTCTAGATGGTTCCTCCCACAACAGGATTCCTTTCCAGGTCTGTCAGGGGAATCATCAGCCTGACAAATCAAAGTGGAAGAAGATGCTTCAACTCAACTTGGCCACATGTGATAGCACAGGGTCCTAAAAGTATTTGGGCTATGGTGTAGCTAGAATATTTATTAAATGTTGGTTTAAGTCCTGTTTGCATATTGCTGAGTGTCTGTGTCACAAGGCACCAAGTCCCACAGTGCTGTCTGAGTTCAAGCCTGGTCTTTGGCAGCTGCAGAGAACTGTTTTTAATGATCTTGTCAAGACAGTAATTGTGCTAAGGATTTTGAAATGCTAAGGGTGGAGAATTGCCTTTTATTTCTTTACTGCAGGGAATGTTAAGAGAAAAAATGTTCAAGGAATTTTAAAAGCTTAAAAAAAAAACCCTACAGATAAAAATGAAAATTTTCTTCACAGGGCAAGACTAAAACCATGCTGCCTGTTTCCATTGCACTGCTCTGCCACTCCTGTCACACACAGCCCCCTCAGCCTGCCTTGCTGAGAACGTGGGGCCACAGCACTTGTTTGACAGGCCTTTGCAGCTCCTGTTTTTCAGGAGAAGTGCAATGAACTGAATGCATTTTCTTTCTCTCTTCCCTCCAACATTCCTGTCCCCTGAAGAGATAACCAGGCATAAGAGAGAGCAGCTTTCACAGTGCAAAGTACACCCAGCCACCACTCAGTGGGTGCCAGGAATAACTATGAAAAGGGGACTGGAATAAACTCGAGCCAGCTGGTGGGAGAAATTTTACAGCTGCTTTGGGAGGCTGAAGAGGAACTGTACTGCAGGTCTAAGTCTAATGCCTTCTCTCCAACAGGAACTAAATGCAGCTGAGCTCCACATCTCAAACTGAAGAAAGCTGAAGAGTTATCTGGAGCAAACACAGCAGATGTTTCAGAAGCCTCTTTAATTTCCTGTCCAAATTGAACTGTAGTATCTTTGCTCCTTTGTTTTCTCCCTGTCAACCACTCCATGCTGGAAGTGTCTACCTTTTTCTGCCATACTCATCATGGAAAATGAAGGCTGACAGAGGGAGAGTAGGAGTAGAAAATGAGGAAGCAAAGGACAACTGGACAAGTCTCCTAATTAACTGTCAGTATCAGGTGCCAGAAGGACATTTTAGTGTCCTTCAGTACACTTCCTCTGACATGGAGCTACATAGTTCTGTACAAGTCATTTAACCTCTCCCTGTCCCAGTTTATCCATCTGAAAATGGTTGTTTGAAAACTGTAATTTCCTCCCTGAAGTGCTATTAAGCTTGTGGTAATGAATAACTAAATGCTCTGAAGGCTGGGAATGACATAGCTGAGCTAAGTGTAATACTCTACACGAGTCTGTGGGATTCAGCTGTCTCCTTGGATATTGTCCATTTAGAAAACACACAGCCCTGAAAGGTGAATTTCTTACTAATCCCCACAAGAAGCTTTTCAGGAAGGTCTGGCTAGTACTGCCCATCTGGACCAGCACAGATGACACAACTCTTGCTGGTTTGCATCATCTTATTCATCTGATCTCTCCTTTTGAGCAGATTTTACAATGTACCAGGCAAAGATACCATAAATCTTCAATTTGGACAATTTCTGGCTGCTTACATATCAACACAGATCACCTTTAGAGGACTGAGGAAGCCCCTTCCACTCTCCCACGCTCGCTTTACACTCACCACCTGATCTGTCTTGCTTCTGTAAACCTTCTGCAGAGTGGATTTTGATCTGGGTGACTCTGCGTGGATAGCCGCGGAGAAGACTCCAACACGTCATTCGAGGCTTGTCTGCCTTCAGCTCCCTGAGACACCATGGGAGAAGCAATGGAAGCAATCAACAGCTGTGGAAATTGGGCACTTTCAGAACATGTGATTCGTACTCTTTCTTCATCTACTGTTTTGGAAGTTTGTGGTACAGAAATGAGAGAGTTAAGAAAGAAAACCAGAGCAAAGTCAAGTCAACCAAATGTGTGTCACCCTTTGCACAGCAGCAAACGTGGCAGGAAAAACACAACTTTAAATCATGGAAAATAGTATTAAAGCATAAAAAAAAATGCAGTGGGCCTGATTTCATAAAATACTAGTTTTGCTCTCACAGTCAACTCCTGGTTTGAAAGGAGGTCAAAGAAATAGGCTCTATCAAGCATAACTGCAAGCACCAGTGTTCCATGTTCTGACCTCCAACTGGAGGCAACAACAAAAGCCAAACTAAAAGGTCAAAAGACTCAAACTGAATTGCCCACTAGGTTCCTACATAAAAATGTCCTGGCTATGCACAAATCCCAGTGAGCCATCTGGAGAGTCTTGGAGGTGACCCTGACCATCTGAAGGACCTAGTTCTGAAGTGATATGAGCTAGTGAGTCTGGGGGCAGCAAGGCAACCCTCTCCACGAGGTGCTGCCAGTGTGGGAAGGGAAGATCACGTGTAGCTGTGAGCACAGCGTACCTGAGTCTGGATGGCACATCTGTGAAGAGCCTCAGGATGAACTGTGTGGGGATGCCCGGGTGGTAGGTGGTTGGGACGAGGAGGTAGCGGCCCTGCCGAAGGATGCTCTTCAGGAACACCGTGCGCGTGTTGCTGTAGGGAGAGGTGGCCACCCTCTCCTGCACTGTCAGCCTGTGCACCCGGTACCTCCTGTTATCCTCCACCTGTGCCACACAGCAGGGCAGGGGTCAATGCAAGCAGGCAGCCAGCAGGCAGCATTTCACATCACACAGCCTCTCACGGGCACAGAAGGGAAATTGTTCAGCAGTTTTTGAGCCGCTGCAGCTGTGGCAGAGATAGTCCTGGTGGGCAACCCAGGGCTCCAAACACTGGCCCACGCAGGCTTCCAGGCAGGGCTGTTCTGCACTTCACTGCATTGGTACATACACAGACACCCCTAAGTGCAGGTGAAAGTTTGGAACTGGCAAAGACACACACCTCTAACAGAGATGTCCTCTTACTGTGGAGCTTTCAGAGACACATGCGCACCCCAAGGACTCCACCTGCTGAACTATGCTGAGATTCATCTGCCTCCTTTCTCCACCATGGAAAGGACATTCCACCCTTATTTAGCAACCTCTCAATCCAGATGCAGACAGCTGTACTTTCATTGCCCTCTCCTGAATACAAAAGCCACAGAATAACTATTTATGTTCTGTTCTAAGCCCTGAAGCTGTGCTTAACATCCTCTTCAGGGAACTGATATTTGCCATGTCAGAGCTGAAGTATAAACCTGTATCTTAAGCAGCTCCTAGGGACAAAGACAGCCCTACATTCTTTTCTAGCAGTTCTCTCTTGTCTTTAGATAATTTAGGCTGTGGTCTTCCAAAGGCCTTTAGTTATAATAATGAGCCTGGTGGGTTAGAACACTTCTGAAAAAGAAAAATTATTGAACAGAAGTTCAGATAGAGCACTGACACTTTTCTGAAGGTGTGATTTTCTTTTCCAAGCCTTTCCCAATTAGATATACATGCCTGAACAAGGCGAGGTGAATTTTGCTGCTTTCTGTAATGACACTTTTCAATACACACAGCTAAGAGGTGACTGTCAAAGGAATAGGTGTGATGCAGCTGTCAGCAGCTCCACCTGGCTGTTAAAAACTGACTTTTAAGGTAGGGCCATAGACTCAGCATAGTCCCACGAGCTATAGCAACAGCTAAACTAATCCTGACCCTCAGTGAGAGAGGAGATGCATGGCTGTTTCTCTTGCTTTCCTCCTTCATCAGTTCATGTGTTTTCATTTTACTCAATTTGCCCTGGGAGTACAATTCAATTACTGTTTGGGATCCCTTTGGTTGCCATTCACATATTTCCTACTCACTACTCCAGCTTCTGAAAACACCCTTGACCCTTGGTCACTTGGCTCTGTTTGCTGATGAAATGGAGGCTGGAGCCTCCAGTGAGAAGAGGGAAGAAAACCCCTCCGTGTTTCAAATGTTAATTTGATTTTGTTTTTCTTTTCAAACCTGGGGGATAGGAAAAGCACTTAAAATTCTTCTGTGATAGGGAAAAATTACTTCTGTTCATTTAGTTCAAACAGAGTTTGAACTGAACCAGGTTCAGTTTAGTTCAAATGGTCTGTCTAATGTCAGTGCTGGTGACAGTGCAAGCACAGCTCACGTGGAGAGGAGAGCCAGACCCCACCATGGCAGTCATGCCTCTGGCTGCCAGGATGAAGCAGGACTGCTGGACAAACTCTGAACCAGGCCTGCAGACAGCTGCCTACCTTGAGTATTTCAAAGCCAATTGGGATGCTGTCTCCTTTCCCTTCTTTCTTGTACTTGCGGCGATCCTCCTGTTGTAATGAGACCAGCACTTTGTCCTCAGCCTTCTTAACATCAAAGATGTACTAGTGGAAGAGAGAAGAGGGAAAGCTGTTAGAAATGCCTTATGGTACTGAGGATAAAGTCATCACCAAGGAAATACAGAAGGAGGCAAATGAAAATACATGAGGAGGTAGGAGGAGAGTTCTCTGTATAACAGACATCCCCAGCAATTCACAGCTGAAAATTAATGCTAAAACCAAGGAACTTTAAACCAGAAGTATCAGAGACACTGAAACAGGTAATTCACATAAAGGACAGTGTGAGACCAAATCACAAAATAGCTCTTGAGGCAGCAGATAACACCTTCTCTGAAAGCAAAAGACAAGAGATTACATTTTACTTTAGATATATATAAATCAGGAGTGAGACTGAAAAATTTAACTCAAAAGACTCCAAAGAGGGTCTTTGATAATTTTTGATTTTTCTTATAACTTGAGTATCTATACAGGGCCTGTAAATTCCAAACATCTTTATATACGGCCTGAAAATGAAGGAATCTTCCAAATCTTAGGTTAAAAAACCCCAAACCCACAACTCTGATCTGCACCTACAATTTCTACTTAACAGAAGAATGTCAAGAATGCTAATTTTGGGCTTTCTCATTTTTCCTATAAGTCTTAGGAATACCCAGTAAAAAGAGAAAAGGACTCTTGCATCTTTAACATACAAATCTTTTATCAAACTGTTTAAAGTAAACTTGAATCAACTTGGGTTGAAGACCAATCAAAGGAGACTGTTTCTAAGTTAGGCAGCAGTTCCCATCTCAGTAAGTCAGACTTCAACTGTTTATGCTATTAAGCATCTCTGCTAGACCAGTTCACAAGAATATACCCTTCAGTAGACAAAAAAAATGGTCAGAATGGCATCACACCCACACGGAGGGAACACCAACCTCTGGCTGAGCTGGCTGAAGCACAGCAGTACTGGAAAGATAATCAATAGCTCCCCAAGCCTCAGGGCTTCATTAGCTGGTCATGGTATTTACAATCCAGACTGGCCTCCTACAGAATTCCTGCTATTCTGGCCTGGCTGGGTTTTGGTATAAATTGAGTGTTTTGTACTCTTACGAGTGTGTTCTATCAACATTAGACGAGAAAGCACAGGACCCTGAAGAGAGTCCTTGGGGTTGTCAAGAGCCTCTGCAGAGAGAATCTAAACAGCAAGATACAAATATGCAGCAACACCTAGTAAGGCACATTTTAATTATTGTCCCTGTTGAACCACGTGCAGTTACCTTGTCAGCCTGGAGTGTGCCAGGGCAAATGGAGGGTGGAAGGGGAACTGTGAGAGAGCAAGAGAGCTCTCTTGGTCTGATGAGAGCTATGCAACTGTGACACTCTTTGATCTGATGACATTTCAGCTGTCCTAAGGGGCAACAAACTGGAAATCAGCAGGTGGTGTAGGAATATGTTTATACTTGGTTTAAATTCCCTTAAAGGGGCTGGAAGTGTCACAGTCCCTCTCTGTACAGATAAGCTTCACAGGAGGCCTCAGTATCAGCCAGTTCACTCAGGGAGAACAGAGATTATCTCTAGACTATGGTAGTATGTGCCACAGTAATTTATAATGGCCCTAAGCTAACATAAATGTGTTCCAGCACTGCTGTTAAGAGCCTTTTAATCAACTAGCCCCAAGATAACACTGGAATAAAAAGAATTTGCATTGCATCAGGCACTGCACTCAACCGTAACGTGTGTAGTTTGTGCTCTGGGGCAGCAAAACACTTGCAGATGAGACCCAGACAAGCCCCTGGAATACATCCAGAATCACACACAGGAACAGATGAATAAAACCACCCTCTGGAAATGAGACACTGACAGAAGACACAGCAGTGAAGAGCTGCTTCTCCACCCACACCTGTGTGAGAGGATGAGCTGGGGGTTCGATTCACTCCTTGTCTGCACAGCAAAAGCTGCACTTGCCCTGTATCCTGCCATGAAAACTGAGTGCTGCAGACACAAACCTCCCCCACAAGTACAGAGGAACAGGCACAAGAACATCTTTAACCTAAAGTATGTGCTGAATTACAAAAGAACAGAAAGGTCAGTTTTCAAAGCAGTAACTAAAGCAGTAAGTGCCCAGATGTCATTGGCAGTGGTTGAAGTTTTATGCCCGAATTTGCATGCAGTGGGATGAAAATGTGTATCATTGAGAAGGGCAGGAAGGTGAGAAATGGAGTAGGAATGGGTGAACAGATAAACTGAATAGCTTGAAGGTTACCAGGGAGGGTTAGAGAAGGAAAATCAGGTAACTGATGAGTGGGTGAGCTTAGGGAAGATCTAGATACTTTCAGAATCTTGGATTAATGCAAAGGGATAATAACTAAATACAGTGGATCAAATCCTCAGGCTGTTTAAGGGTATTAAGTGAAAGGAATTCTGTCATTAGAAAAGCAAACTTGCTGCCTTTCTGAGACTGGGAAACTGAAAGAAGTCAAGACTTCACTAATCCTGGTGTGTCTGGCTCATCAGCCCCAAACAGTCCTAAACAAATATCTAAACTCTTCTGAGAGATTCTACAGAAGTCATTGAGACACACAGTGAACCAGCACAGTCCCAGAGGTGGATACATTTCAACACCTCATAAAATACAGGGATTCCCACCTGGGGATTCTGAAGGAAGGTCTCTTTGTTATCGAAGCATCCACCAGAGCGATTGAGCAGGGGCTCTGAATCCTTTGTCCAAGCCCCATGCATCATCTTCTTCTCCCAGGTCTTGTGGATACTGCAGTAGGAGGTGTTCACAATCCGGCAGATGTCCACATCAGTGAAGTTCTTACACCAGTCCTCAAAGGTCATCCTGTTCCATGGACAGCAGGAGAGTCACGGTTTGTTCAAAAATAAACAGTGATACTCATGCAAAGAGCCAGCAGAACACACAAAATCTTCCAGTAATTTAAGAGGAGGTATTGCTCAGCTGCCCAGAGGACAAACTGAGTCACTGGAAAGCTCTCCATGTGGAAATAGGCATGAAGCAACAGCCACACTATCTGAGAACTTAACTGAGAGAAGTATCACCTCAGTGTGCATGGTCAGTTCTGGATTCGTCCTGCTGCAGCACCTAGGCCTGAAGGACAGGCTGTTTCTCCCAGGCTGGATTTGAGAATGTACTTTGCAAAGGCAAAAGAGACTGCCTGAAAGCAAAGCACCATCCACTCCTCATTATTACCACCCTTACTGATACATGTTCCTGAGCATGACTCAAACCTCTGTACTCTGGACACAGCTGTTATTTCACACCATCTCAGTGCTGTAGCCTGTGCCTGCTAAAGCAGAGCAGTTAAAAAACATTCACCTCTCTAACAGCTTGGTATCTCTGAACTACCCTCACGTCCTGGCTTACTGACAGCCCCAATCCCTACAGCAGGCTTCCAGTCCTGACAAAGCCAAGCAAACAGAAGACTTTTCATACTCTGCCCTACCAGCACACTTGATGCAATATTGGTGATCTGCTGAAGAAGTTGCTGGACTGCCTTGGTGTATTCTAAGCTTTAAGCAGAGTCAAAACTACTTGAGTTCTAGAGATTCTGTGGAGAATGGACACTTCCCATGCCCATGCTGGAAAATGCCAGCAAATATCAAAATTCACTGGCTGCAATTGTCTTTACAGACACCTCGGCCATGGCTGACCTAGAAGTGCTACAGACAGGCACAACAGTCAGTAAACAGGGGTGACAGTGTGTTCAATGTTTGGCATTCTGTCATGTACACCAGCTCATGTGCTGTCTTGGATTGGGAGTGAATGTCCTGAATGTGGCTGGTAGATCTTAAGGGAGTTTTAAAACATTTACTAAGAGCTAATAACTTTGTTATACTGGTTTTTAATCTATTTTTTCTGTTCCTCACTGAGACCTTGAGAGTCTAAAAGAAATAGACCTTGTGCCAGGAGTGGATAAACGTATCCATTTGGGGAAGTTGTTTTTGAATCCCACTCACCAGAACTCTCCATCATTCTCAAGAGTGAGTCCCAAGCTCTTACATTCTGAACTGCTGACTTTCTTCCACTCCTCAGAACTAAAAGGCAAAAAAAAACAAACAAACAAAAAGGAGAACAAGAAAAAAAAATAACAAAGATGCTTAATAACTTAAATTAAATACTCTCACCTGGAAAAAAAATTGCAAGTAAAATTCTCTCATGGTCCCTGGTTATAAAAGTAACATCCAAGTAATGAAAGGACAGATGGTATTCAGGAAGACAGTCAAGGGCTTACAGGAGGAATTTTAAAACATTAATTGATTGGAAAGCTACTAAAAAAAGATGAATGGGAAATTGGCACAACTAGAGCAGAACCTCATTGATTCTGTTTGTCACACCCTCCCTTAGGACACTTCAGCAGTTGGTCTGGAATGTCATAGGAGATTGACTCCATTCCCTGAAGGCCCTTTAAAAGAAACCTGGTTTTCCTCCTCAGGAGCTTACTGAACACTTCACTTAGACCAGAGTATTCTCCTTGTCTTTCAGTGTCCCTTAATAAAACAGGCCTGAGGTCTGAGATTTCCCCAGAGAGCCTTTGAGAAGAAACTGTTGCAGCAGGAGCCTAGCATCCACTTTCCAGAGTGCCACCAGATTGCACAGACACTTCATTGCCTGCATGAACATACAGCTGATGTGCTCTGCATTGTCCCCTGGAGGCACCTTCCTCTTTCCACTGACTGCAGGGGAGCACAGGATCCTAAATTCAAGCAGTGCGATGCTTCAAACAACGTGATAGCAGACTGCACGAGCCCCTTCCCCAGTGTGTGTTTGACACAGCCATAATTTAATAGTAATTCAAAATGTATCAATAGTATAAGATAAATCAAAATGTTGATTTTTAGCAGCACTTAATGATCAACCAACTTAAAGATTAGCAAGTGCTTCAGTAAAATATATTGTCATCAAGCAGCGATTTAATTACAGATTTGAGAGTTACAAGATTCACACTAACTTACTATAGTGTATTCTGAATCAAAGGATGTGTATATCTAAGCACAGAGCATTCAAACACATACAGACAGAAATATTTGGATCTAACACACCCACACTTGTGAAGGTAGATGTGTCTATCAAACACACAGATAGGCAGGGAGGTGGGTAGAGGAGACTAGCCTACAGTAAAAACGTCCCTCTCTCAGTTTGGAGCAAATATGCACAATGCATGGGCATTCCTCAGCTGGTGATAACTGACTCTTGAGGAGTTTGACTTGCCCTGGACTTCCATGAACTTTGCTGGCAGACAGTCTTGAGGAGTCCCAGCTCAAGGGAGGTGCTGGTCACAGCCCACTGCCATCCAGGAAAGGTCCCAGGGTCTTAAGGATTGCTCTTTATGGAGTTTGGGAGAATTAACTTTTGCCAGGTACTTTTCCATTTAGGCCCAGCTCTGGTGGTGTAATATTTTGGTACTTTCTGCCAGTTCACATGCCCAGAACTCGCTAGGTTTTGGGGTTCTGGTATGTCCCCACTTTGGGCCAGAACCAAAGTACACATGTACTAGGCTGTCAGAAGGCCGATCAATCACCATTAGGGGTGTGCCTTAATGCTCTGGTACACTGCTTATTATCTGCACGAGGTAGTCAAGGGGTCACAGATTGTCATTAGTGTCCCCAAAGACCAGGGAAGCAGGAGCCAGGTACATTATGGGGGTGCCTCAACACTCTGGTCCTGGCCTTTCAGCACGGATTGTTTTGTGGCCCATGGAGGGGGAGCTGCACCATGCACCTAGTGGCCCAAGAATCAGGGAGAATCACGTACCACAAACAGGCATTTTCTTAACCTATTTGGAAATTCTCAATTTAATTCTGTTAGGCCAAAACCCACGGGCCTACCTCAGAGTCATCAGTGCTTCCTCTGGAATGAGTGGGAGCAGTGCCAAGGCAAGGGCTAGTGGGGAACCACAAGTTACACCAGACATGGTCACTCTTCTCTGCATTCTTAGCATTTCACCTGAATCAAGCTCTTTGAATTTATAGATTTTTCCTAGCTAAAGTGTGGAAGATAAGAACTGAACCTGCTGTTGTTAAGAAGGCTGCATTAACTGCTAAGAGCAGCTGGTAAGCACAGTGTTGAACTGTAACATTCTGGTTAAGTGGTTTTTGTGTGTAAATTGCCAGTGATGGAATATACCCCCCCAGCAACCATTCCTGTCTCTGTAAGGGTGCCTGCTAAGCTCATGGCCCACATTAAAATGAATTCAAAAATAATTCAAGATTTCACAAATGTGGCCATTTTACAGCATTTTTCACCAGTCACTTAAATTATCTAAGAATAAAAGACTTACACCATCCCCATCAGCTAGCGTTTACAGCTGAGAAATCAAGTCACAGACAAACTCAGTGGTGAAGCTGGGAACAAACCTCATGTTCTTGACTCACCCACTGAGTCGTAGGCTATTGTCCTGGCTATCGTGTGCCAGGACAGTGATGTGTACAGTAAACCAAGGTCCAGGAAACCAAAACCTCCTGGCTCCTCCAGGATGGGTTCATTTGCTCAGAGATGGCACAATGGTTCTGCCATCACTGAATATTGCAGACTGATGTCTAACACCCAGTTTCATTCCTTTGACACTGGATTTGCAGCACTCACTTGTCACTCCAGGCACCATTCCACTCTCTTTTTCCCCAGGGGTTCCTCAGCCTGATCATGAAGAGCTTTTCTGCCTTGAAGGAGAAGGTGAGCCTCTCCCCAAGGCGCAGCTTCCGAACCGCAGTCACCGAGTAGGCGTGGCCGATGACAAGCCCCTTCTCTGTCTCCACTTCACTGGTACCAGAGGAAGCCTTCAGCACCAACAATGACAAGCAAAAAAAACACAACTCACATCATCAAGGGACCTGGCAGTGACATGTTCAAGGGGCAGGACAAGGCAGGCTTGGTTTCTGTCACAGAGCCCTTCCCAAGTGATCAGAATATGCAGGAAAACAGCACTAGGGCTCAAAACTGTTGGCTCACTAGTCTGGTCTCCTGCATGACTGTGCTGGACAAGCCTGAGCAGACAGAAGCCCAGAGCACAGGAGAACACTGCCTGCTACAGCCATCCTGTCTTCTCCTGGCCTCAGTCAGTTAAGCACTGGGCTGGTGGACAACCTTTATCAGCCTTCCCAAAATCTTGCTGTCTTTACAAAGCGGCTCTTCTGGATACTGGTGACTGTGCTCAGACACAGCACTATCTGGTGATGTCCTCACTGGACACTTGGTAGGGTCCAAGGATTCAGCCCCTGAGTCCAATGACTGTTTCTGTGGGGGCAAATTTGATACCTAGGAAAATCTACTGGCAATGGGTAAAAATAGATGGCACATTTCCAGTGGGTTTGGGCTTCCTCCAGTGTAACACTTTCACTTGCCTTTTTCACAACTGAAAGCACACAAGAGTCCTTGGCAGCATGGGAGTCTGTAGCCTCTCCTGCTGACTTCATTATCCCCCAGGCTCTCCTCACTGCTGTGCTGTCTCTCCCACCTCATTATGAAGACATTTATTTATTTATTTATTTAAACATCTACTGTCTGTTCAAATTTCTAAATGGTGAAGCTCAAGGCTATTTTGTAATCCAAGGAAGATGATGATTTGTTTGTAAGTCAGCAATGGATCCACTTGAGTATTAAATATTCTACACCTAACAAGCTTCACTGCGTGTATAATACATCTATCAAAAAAAGATAAATGAGATGAGTCAAGCCAAACCACTAGGAATAGCCCCTGTGTAATCAAGGTTTAGAAGCATCTACATCTGACAGGCAGAAACATAAAGCCAGAAAGATGTGAAGGCATTACAACAAATTAATTGCTTTTAAAAATACAACTCCCTGTACTTAGCTTATCTCCTCACCAGATCCACATTAAGAAACTGAACTGCCTTAGCATTTGGGAGCAACCTATCATCCCAGAAACAATGCTTGACAATAACAATTCTCATCAGGAAGTCTGGTCTGACAGCCTAGTCTGAGCAAACCAGATGGAATTCTTTCTAAATGAAAGTTCAGACCTTGTGAAAAAGGTAAAACACCAAGAAGACCTAGAAGAATTTGTTTCTGAGCTTTTGCCTGATGTTTCTTGGAAGGACAGCCCAGGACTCCTGTTCTATCTCAGCTGAATTTTCAGCTTCAGATTCATCTCCCAGAAGGTACCATGTGCTCCTCTGATACCACAGCACTGGTGCAGAGCAGGGCAGTGAATGGCCAGGGCAAGCTAAACAGATCATGTTCTCAGCTTCTCCAAACATGGCTGGTTTTCTCTTGTTTTAGACAACTGCACAACCACCATGATGCTTGCAAGAAATTCTGAGTGTGCCAACACTGAGGGAAAATGAAGGCAAAGTGTTTAAGCAATTTACCCAAGTCCACATAAGATTAGCCTTAGTTCAGGTCTTAAATTGGAAGCAGAGGGCATGGCAGGAAGATGCTGAAGTACAGCTAGATGCCAACCCTGCACCTCCTAGAGCATGATCCCTTTCCTACAGGCTGCACTTACACAAATTATTTAAAAGCAATCTTTTAGGAAACACTCAGGTGCCATGGCAGTTTGTTAGCCCTCCAGGTGCTGTAACAGCTTCAGACAAGGTCAGAATTTCAGTGCTACTGAGTCATGGCCTGAGATTGCAGACTTTGACAGAAAGTGAGTTAAGCCCAGTTGTCACTGGTTTCCCTCCTATGGCAAGGGGCTGTGAAAGGCCCATTCAGAAAGAATCCTTTTCAGATCCACAGTAAAGTGGCTTTGTGGTTTTGTGACTGTGTTCAGGGGCTCATGGAGTTGTACTTGGCTGACAGCACTGCCAACTTGCTAGTTTTTTTCCATATGAAGCTTTTCCAAAGCATACACATGAAAGACATGCTCAATATACTAATAATGGTATTTTTCCATTTTTTATTTAAATTAACTCTCCAAGCCCAGCTCTTGATACGTACCGTAATGTAACAGCTGATCAACCCGCCTCTTCTGTGCACTTTCAACAAGTCTTCAAACAGCTTCATCTGCTCAGAAATCATCTCACCATATTTGCCCTGCACCAAATCAATAGATTCTGCTACTGCTCCAGTGAAATCCACAATTGCATCCGCAGCACTGCCTCCATCTAGGGCTTCATAACATCCCGCCAGCCTGAGGGTAACAGAAAATTCTCAGTCACCAAGGGGCTCTTAGAGGTGCTCTAGCTTGGCTTGAATGTCTCACCAAGGCAAAACAAAACAGAACAACCCAAAACAAGAGAGCAGATTGCAGAGAAACCTTTGCTGGGTTTCTAGGAAAGGAGTATAATGATCCTCAAGGCTTTGGGTTGCTGAAGTAGAGTGCATGTGATTCATCTCCTCCATGCAGATTAAAGGAGTTTTTCATCTTTTTAGGTTCTCCACTAGCAGCAAACCTAAAACCTATGGGAAGCATGATAGATTTGAAGGACAAAACCAGAAGGATAGAAGGGACAGCACTGAGGACTAACAGGACAATGAACTAGCTCATACTTTGCATAGGCTTTCTCCAACAACGCACTCCAGAATTCGTTTTTCACATTGGAATGGCAGTAGATCAACTTCCCATCCATTGTTGGCAGCAGATCATCAACAACCACCTCTGTCCATTCTCCAAAGCACCAGAAACGGAAACGGAAAATCCCAGCATATTTCTCTGGGTTTTTGGGGTCCCATTCTTGTTCATTAAAGTCTGGAATCACCTGAGAAACCAGGAAAGGGAAAGTTCACAAAGGCACTACGTGAGGATTTATTCAGAGGGTAGAGCCCTGGAGCTCACACTGTGGTGGTACTCAGCTTCACAAGCAGGTGACCTTAAATAAAAGCAGTGAAAAAAGAGGGTGAGTTTGGTACAAAGTCAAATATAGTCACATCTCAAAGAATCTTTTAGAAAAGTAAAATTCAAATTGATCTACAGAGAAAGACAAACAGAACCCATGGTACTCTCTGGCTTTGCTATATGTCTTCTTTGGTGCCCAGTGGCACCATGGAGTAGGGAGATCTCATAACACAAAAAATGAACTTCTAAAGAAAGGGAAGATTTGAATCCACCAAAATTCACCACTCAGAGGCACTTTAGTCCTAGAGAGAAAAAGATTGGCCAATAAGCATGGAAACAACTAATGCTTATTAGCTTTATTCCATGCACCAAGCACAACGATCACCTACCCGCTGCCAGAGGGTCTTCCTCAGAGCCAGGCAGGAACATGCAGCCACAAACCAGCAGTTCCCCAGGATGCCTTGGTGTAAGTCGTGGGAGCTGATTCCATTCACAAACAGGTGGGGGTCTTCACAGAGGTCCTGACAAAGTCAATCAGAGATCACTGGAGACTCCACTCCAAAAATGAGAACAGCATCCTCCCAGCTAGTCCTCTCCACACTTGTTCTGCATCACATTCTCACTGAAGCATGGAGTTTTCTGTGCCAGGAAGTTCAAAACCCCTCTGGCACTGAGTATATTTGAAATTCAGGCTACATAAGATTATTTAAGTTCTTACAAGTAGATTGTGTTGCTTTATCTAAACACCAGAATCACCAATTTCTTTTTGCCACAGTTCCTAGTTCTGTCCTCAGCTGAAAGTTATCTTGGAGAACTGGAATGAATTCAACATTTCACTTGTTTGGCATTGGGGCAGTTAATGAACTGAAAGTAAGTGAAAGGAGGAGGAGGAGGAGGAGGAAGCATTACAGGCAAAGGCTTTGAAAAAAAAACCCAAAACACAAAACAAAAGCCCACCCCACCAAGCAAAGCAGCAGGAAATGAGGCTACTGACACAGAGCTCTAAGCTCCTCTTTCTTTGTTGCCACTCCCTTGGCTGACATACCTGAAACCTCCTCCACCAACAGCAGGAGTTACTGCAGTGACCTCTGCCACCCAGCACCAAAGAATGCAGAGAACACATGTCTGTGGAACACACCTCTCATTCACTGGCTCTCACCTTCTCATTTATCTGGCTCTTACTAGAACCACTGGTTCCTTCTCTCCCATTGCTTTCCTGGCTCCATCTCTATTTACATGCAGATTCTCACCAAAACAGAGGTGGCTCTTCCTCTGATGTCTCCCTGCTCCTCACTAGCTTTCTCCTTGCTATATCTTTATAGTCTGCAGATCAAGGCACTAAAAGGAGAACTTCTAACTATCGCTGAACACAGGAAAGCCACAGGAGTACATTTTGCAGCAGCATTGTGGTTGTGACCAAGAAATCCTTGGAAGATGGTGTTCTCTTGAATGGATACGTATGTGGCCTCACAGCCCCAGAGAGAACCTCCCAAGCAACACTTCAGAAAACAGATAATCTGACTGTCCCATAACTGATATGGAACCTACTGGTTTCAACCCAGCAGCTGCTCATGACCCTCTCGTGTGGATTGCTGCTTTTCCTGACAGGTTGAGAGGATGGAAGAGCAGACAGTGGTTAGAAATTATCTTCTACAGTGTAAGAATAACTCTAAACTTCAACACTGTGGGAAGGAAATGATCTTATATCCAGGCATCAGAAATGCAGAATAAATAACTCCCTCACCTCAAAATGGCAGGAGACTCCAAATTTACTACAGTCTTTCCAACTTATCAGCAGCAGAATAAGGAGCTGTGCTTCTTACCTTGTGGATTCTCACTGCCCTTTGATAATTATAGATGATGATCCCAAAATATCTAGAATGCAATCCAAACCTGGCTACACACCACAGGCATGCCAAAACTTCTCAGTCTTCCCCTTGATGGGACTGACAGATCAGTGCCAGCTGAACTTATTTTCAGAGGGAAGAACCACCTCAGTGCTGAGCTGAGCCTGTTCTCCTGGGCTGGTTTAGCAGACAGCAGCCTGCTGTCAGCTCACGGGAGGGGAGGCATGGAGCTCCTCCTGTTTGCTTTAAGAAGATGGTATTTTTGGCATAGGACTTTTCTTATTAAATAACAATTGGTAGAGATTCTAAATGCCTCTTGGGAAACAAAACTGATCATTGTATGACACTGTTCTGTCAGTATTTCTCACGTGTCTTCACTTAGATACATTTCAAAGCTTATTAAAAGACCTTAATAAAATTTTGAATAACAAAATGGTGCCTATAAGGAAAACTGACTTATCTGAACCATGGACAGATTCATTCAATCTGCCTGGGAGCTCTGCTGTGGAATGGTAACAGGAACTTCAGGCTGGCACTGAATTCAGCTGGTAAATAACCCAGCTGCCAGCTGCAAAGGTTGACATTAGTTGGCTACTTGGCCCTCATGGTGGTAGCACACATTCCAAACTCAGCTTGGGTAGATTCAAGTTTCATATCCCCTTTCCATGCACTTCTGGTACTAATAATTTCGAGTTTGTTTTTCCTTTCAAAATGTTATTTTGTTAGTGTAATAAACCAGGGGTAAATTGAGCCTTCAGGGTTAAAGTTGTCCAAACTCTGCTGTCGTTAGAGGAAGCCAAAACTTTCATTGGTTTTGAAAGAAATTAAGCACCACTGTATATTACAAATATTTTCTCTCATTTGGCTCACTTTGCTAAAAGTAACTACATTAAATTATCATTTTTTAATTGAAGTGTGTCTTGCATCTCACTCAGTCCTCAGAGAAAAAAAAAAAAACCAACACAAAACAAAGAGCAGCATGTGTCAGCTGCCAAACATATGGATGAGATTAGCATCTGCTGACCACTGGGTCCAAAGCAAACATGGAACAGCAGACCTTACAAACAGCACCTCCCTGTTTCCACCACAGTCACAAAATTCTTCAGGATCCTTCTTGATAAACCCTTTATATTAAACTGCGTAGGAGCCCTGGACTTCTGAGGCTAAAGAACAGTGCAAGAAAAAGACATTAGCTCTGTTTCTTTTGTCATTGATTAGAGCCATGACAGCAGCTTCTATGGCTGTCACTGCTCAGAGCAGATGCACAATAACACTCAGGTGTGAGCTACCCCAAATTTCAGCTCTTTGCTCTCTTCTGGGCTTTCTGCTTTTTACCACTCATGCAGCATAGCAAATTCTAAGGGATATCTTTGAGCTGGTATTAGTTATCTAAGCCACAATTCTCCCAACACAGAAAGAGAAACGTGCTATTTAAATATACTATTCTGCAATCCTGATGAGGATCTTCACACATTTTTGGTTGCCCCAAGCATGTAAAAAAGGGGTTTTAATCACTTTTCCAGTAACGCAGTGATAGCTTAGGATAGTTGAGGACCAAGCCAACTACCATCAGAAAAATTACAAGGAAGATGTGAGATATGGCCAAGGCATTTCAGGAGACCTGGTGCCTTCTCTCCCTTGCAAACTAAACACTTAGGTTCTGAGTTGCACTAGAAGTACCTCCTTTGCAAACATAGTGGTTTAACCCTAATCCCTTTTGTCAAGGTCAGCCTGCATCATCTGTGCTGTAAAAAGAGATATATCTTTACATTTGCAGGAAAAAAATTAAAGGAAGTTACTGGCTATCATTAACATGTAATAGCCACAATATTTCTGATACAACACTGCTAATAAAAGCAGCTGTTGTATTATTTATGCCCACGGGGAGCATTCCACCATCCAAGACACAGAGCTCTCCCCAGTTCTCCCCTTACGCCTGTGCACACTGAAATAAACACCATCTGCAGAACTATAATTAGGTCATACTGAGTCTGAAAGTGAGGCAAGAGGTTACAGGGGCTTTGCTGGGAACCCTCATGATCTTGTTTTCATACCAGACTTTCCTTTGCATGACAGGGGTCTATCTGTGTCAACCCCCATATAGTCTGTAAATCTCTAATGAATCTCTCTTCTCTAGTCTGAATAACTGGTTCTCCCTGTTTGATACCACTGTTGAAGTGTGGTGCCCAAATTCAGAGTCTACACTCAAAATGAGGCTTAGCAGTGCTGCACAGAGCTCGATGCTCCTGCTTACTGAAGCTGGGATGCCACTTTTCTCTCTTTTTCACTTGTGTTCAGACAGTGATCCACCCTCCGATGATATTCCAGACTTTCTGCCTAGTCATTTTTCCTCCTTAACTGAGCCATGAAGTCACAACACTAAAACACCACTTGGTGTATTGATGAAGTGATGCTGAATTTCATCCCCTTTATTCCACACTGTTCCCCCAAGACATCAAGGTAAGCTTGAATTCTCAACCCTGTCAGCTGGCTTGCCATCCTGTCTCAGTCTGTGTCCTACAGCATTCCTGTACTTGCCTTTCTAGCCCCTCATCCAGGTAGCAATGAAAATACCAAAGAGTACCAGATAGAGGGGATTTCTGTAGGACTCCATCAATACAGCAGCAGCTTGAGAGTGCTCCGAGTCATTTATCTCATCAGACATGCATCCCCATTACAGAAGTTTGAAAGACAGATCTTCATGCTTTGGAGAGACATATCTGATATTGCCAAAGTCTTATGAAAGTCAAACTATATCAGATCTCCTGCTCCTCTCTTAGGGACAAGATCTGTCCCACCGTGTGCTGGAAGGAAATCAAGCTGGTACATATCAGTGTATCTGACAATGCATTTTTATAATACAATCTGTACCATCAGACTAAGTGTCATCAGCTTAGGTCTGATAAATTGCAGTCAGGAATTTCACTGAGATACAAAAATGCTTGAACTGTAGTACAAATCCAAAAGATGCCAACTTTTCTTTGCTGCATCATACCTTCCTTAGGACATTTCAAAACAATGGGAACCATGGGAGACAACAACCACCCATTTCACTGGGGCTGTGCAATGGTTTCTACATTGCTCTGTCATGATTCTTTAAAATAAAAGAGAAAGGATGGATAGGTTTTATCTGAGACCAGAAGCACCACAGAGAAGTAGAGGAGATAACTGATTAACTCTGTGCATTAACTTCAGGTTGCTGTGGTTATGCTGAAACTTAAAGTAATTTAGCCAAAGGAGAAGTTCCCCTTAGCTCTGAAGATGCATCTCTTGGTGTAAGTATTAGCAATAATCATGAATAAAAATTATGCAGTGTTGGTTATAAACAGGGAGAAAGACATTCAAAGGTTAAGTAATTCACTGTGTCTTCACAGACATTGACTGAACCTGTGCTGTAAAATATTATGAGAGGTCTCTAATCTCAGAAAATGGAAAGATTATTTTTTAATGGATTAGGGTCTGTCAGCTGGCTCAGAAAAACGGAGATTCAGGGCAACGGAAGAAGAAAAAAAGCAGTTACAATGTTTGCAACTAAGATTTTCAAAGGATTCAGCAGCATTTAGAGTTTACTTTCTTCAGCACCCCTTAAAGAACCCAGCCCAACATAAGAAATAATCTACCTTTATTGCACACAAGACCTATGGAGCCAGGCACTTTCCTTGATTCTATCAGAC